AAAAAAAAAAAAAAAGAAATGGAGGGTTTTTCGGCGCCTGGGTGGCTCAGTCGTTAAGCATCTGCCTTCGGATCAGGTCACGATCCCAGGGTTCTGGAGTCAAGCCCTGCATCGGGCTCCCTGCTCCGCAGGAAGCCTGCCTCTCCCTCTCCCACTCCCCCTGCTGTGTTCCCTCTCTCGCTGTGTCTCTCTGTCAAATAAATAAATAAAATGTTTAAAAAAAAAATTTAAACAGAGAGCTACCACCAGACCCAGCACTACCACCCCGGGGTACACACCCAAGGGAAATGAAAACATACGTACACAAAATATGTATACACTAATGTTCACAGTGGCATTTTCATAGTAGCCCCAAAGTAGAAAACCCCTAGTTCTATCAACTGATGAAAAGATTAACAAGATGTGGTATATCCCTAGAAGGGAATATTTTTTGGCAATAGAACGGAATGAATACTGAAAGGATGCAGACTACACGTGGATGCACTTTGAAGGCATGAGGTCAAATGAAAGAAGCCTAACACATTCGTTCACATATTGTATGATTCCACTTACAGGACATGTCCAAAGAGGCAAGTCTACAGAAACAGAGAGTAGACTAGGAGTTGTATGGGGCTCGGGGCGGGGTTGGGGTAAAGGCATAATTTTGCGGGGGGAGTTCTTTTTTGGAGGATGAGGAAATATTCTAAAATTGATTATGGTGATGGTTGCACAACTCTGAGTATATGAAAAACCATCGAATTATGTGCTTTAAATAGGTGAATCGTACAGTATATGAATAATATCTCAATAAAGCTGTTGACATTGATGTGCCTGAATGCCACAGGATGGATCCTCCAGCACGGGGCCGCTGGTCGACCCCTTCCAGGCAGCCCTGGCCCCAAGAAGGGGTCTGTAGGGTACTGGATGAGGAGGCCAGGGTTCTCCGAAGGGCGGCAGCATAGGAAGCCCCAGGGGCAACACCTCCCTCTGTGCTTCAGTTTACCTTCTACTTACCCCTTGTGGAGCTTTGTCACACAGTATGGGGGTGTCACAAGCAAACACACACAGGGCAAGTCAACATAAATCAGGAGTCAGGCTGGGAGGGACTATGGCAACCCAGGGGAGTACATGGTCCCCCAAAGAGGCAGCCACACCCAGCTCTAGCCTGTTTCGGTGTTGCCCAGTGGACACTATCACCAGAGCTGGTTTTTAATGTGAAAGCTTCTGATTTTCTGGATGGAGGAAAGGATGACAAGGAGAGAAGATGTGCAGAATCCCTGAATCCTCACTCGGGGCGGGGGTGGGTGGATGTCTGGACACCTACCAGCGGGGCCATCCATTCGAAGAGGTTGACACTCTCCCCATCATTGATATAGTATGCCTGGCCACTCTGAGGGGACACACAGGGAGGGGGACAGTGAGGCATCTGCTCCCCAGCCTGACCCCACCCTTTCAGATGGCTCAGCAGCTGCCCCGATCTCCCCAATTCTCCTGAGCAGCCACTGAGGAGTCATGGCCATTCCCCAGCCCTGGGGACAGACCTGGGCAATTCCCTTTGAATTCTGAGGCTGCCACCCTGACTGGCTGTGTGACCTCAATAGAGTCACTTAACCTTTCTGTACCTCAGTTCCTTCATCTGAGAAATGGGAAGAAAATAACAGGATCTCCCTCTTGGGCTATTGTGAAGATTACACGGGATGGTGTATATAAAATGCTTAGCATTCGGTGACCATGACTTCAGGACCAACAACACCTACATCACAGGGTCACTGCAAGGAGCTAATGATGCTCTATAAAGAGCCCCTTACCCCGAGCTTCCCTGAGCCTACAGTCCCACCGACCATCTTGAGTTGGGCTGAAATGTATGTGAGCCAGGAGTCCCCTAGGGATGGGGTACCCTGCCCGTAGCCAGCTGGGGGGGAAGGTGGGGACAGCACTGCAGGAGACTCACGGCCACGTAGCTCTTGGCCGCGGTGAGGGCCTCAGCCGCCAGCACGTGTGCCTGCACCAGATTGTGCACGTGGACCCAGTTCATCCGTGTCCTGCGGTCCCCAAATCGGAACATGAATAGCCTCTTCTTGATGTGGCTCTGGAGGGGGTGATAAACACAGACTCAAGTCTGGAGTGGCTTTGAATACCATTTATATGATGATGGCTCCCACATTTCTAGCTCCAGGCCAGACCCCTTTGCCCCAGACCCATGTCCCGATGTCTCCATGTGGTGGTCACTTGTCCGTGTCCTGGAGCGAGCGCCTGACCTTCCAGCTCCTGGTCAAGCCCCCCCCCCAACCCCATCTCACTAGACAGCACTCTGCGGCTCAGGCTGAAACCCTGGGGCGTCCGTTGGCCTTCCCTTCTCTCCATTCCACGCCCAACTCATCTGCAAATCCAGTTGGCTCAACACTCTATCCAGAATCCCCCTGCTTCTCACCGCCCCAACTGCTGCCCCTCTTTTCTGCCTGGAGACCGAAAGAGCCTCCGAACTGGTCCCCACTTCCATCCACGGTCCCTGCAGTTGTTCTCCACACAGCCAGGGGGATCCCCCTGAATCTTAGATCCTGTGTGTTCCTGCTCAGAACCTTCCAGACGCCCACGCTGCCAAAAGAAGTCTCGACAACGGCCGAGGGGGCCCTTCTGCTCTGGCCCAGCTACCCTCCGACTGTCTGCTACAAACTCCCTTGCCCACTCAGCTCCAGCCACACGGGCTCCCCGCGGCATGTGCGGCAGGCTCCCATCTCGGGGCTTCGGACTTCCCTCTGCCTGGAAGGCTGTCCCTCCAACCTGGTGTGATGCACCCTGCCACCTGCTTGATGAGGCTCCCCGGCTGCCCGGGCGCCCAGCTCCCACACCCTGCTCCCCCTTTCCGTCATTTTTCCAACGCACCTTGCACCTTCAAACACCCCTTATCATGTATCATGTTTATTACCCATCTCCTGGGAGAATATAAGCCCCACAAGGGCAGGAATCCTCTGTTCTGCTCACTAATCTGTCGCAAAGCCCCGAGCAGCGCCCTTTCTCGTTCCCGGGTTTGTACCCAAGCTGCCTGCCCTGTTTGGACCACCTTCCCTCTCCCACCCCATTTCCTTGGTTCACTCTTTCTTCCCTTTCCAAACAGCACAGGCATCATCCTGGACCTCCCCTGCCAGGCTCCCTCTGCTGTGCTCCCGTATTCTCATTCTTCCCTCCATGTAGCCCTGGCCATACTGGTTCTGTAACGGTGCCTCCTGTCTCCCGACCAGGCTGTGAGCAATCTGAGGACAAGGCCTCCAGTCCCTCGTAGCTCTGTCGCTGGCACCTGACTCTCCCTGGAGAGGGGCTTCCTATTTGAAGACCCTTGTGCTGGCAGCACGGGATGAGCCATCTGGCCACCAGGGAGCCCACATCTGAGGAGGGACAACGGCCTCCCTCTGCCTCTTTGGGGTCATAGCTCCGGGACTCCCCGACCTGTGCCTAACCCTGGCAGGCACACACTGAGACCTTTGTTCCTGGTGGGTCTGCTAGGGGTAGGGACAGCTCCCAGAACTAAGAGCCCCAGGCTCAGGACGTTGCCCCAAGACCAACACAGTGACTGTGGACTGGAAGGGCCCCAATCCATGCACACAGCAGCCAGATTCATCCTGAGTCTCAGGGCCGGGGCTGGGCTGACATACCGCTACGCGGGGCAGGTGCCTCTGCTCTTCAGGGCCATAGATCCCTGGGGGCCGGAGCACACACGTCCGCAGAGTGCCTCCTCCTAGGACACAAGGAGGGTGGTCAGGGACCCGGGGAGGGGTGGCCCAGCAGGGAGAGACACACAGAAATGCTGTCCACACCTTCTGATCCTTGCCTGGACAGGTTAGCAGGGAAGACAGGCCCTTGGGGTTTCCTTATTCAAGTACTCTCAATCTGTTAGTCATTTAACAAACAACATTCGGAGGTTGCCTGACCTCTACCCCCAGCACTGGGCCCCGGGAATCCAAGGATAACCAAGAGGAGAATCCAAGGATAACCAAGAAATGGTCCCTGCCCTCATGACACTCACAGGCCAGTAACCAGAGGTAAGACCTGGATGCAGATATGTACGCGGCCCATGAGTTTACCCGGCACTCGATAGATGTAATTTCCTTTGACTCCCCTGACAGTCAACTGCACCCATTTTACAGTGTACAGCATCTTCCTTTGGGGGCCCCTCCCCCTCTGCACAAAGTCTTAGGGGGCTGTCAGTCTGGATGTGCCAGATGCCTCACTCTCCCCTGAGGTGGTGGCCATGGGACTCAAGCTGGGTCCATGACATATTCTCACCCAAGAACGTGACTCTCAGCATCACCGACACCAGGATCTAAAATCCTATGAATGGGTTCACCCTGAAGAGACTGGTCACCAGCTCCTGCCACCCAGTCCCTGGAGCTTCCCCAACCCTATCCTTTCCAAGCCCTGGTAGTCATTTTTCTGGAAATATATTTTCCAGAAACGATCCCACATCCTTCCACTATAAGTTCCTGTCCCCGGCAACTTAGCCAGGGCCGGTGTCTTGGGTCATAGCCAAACACCCTGACTGCTTCCCCGCCAATATCCTCACTTTACCATGAGGCCAGTAGAGTGGGTTGAGTGGTGGCCCCCGAAAAGATATGTCCACATCCCACAACCTGTGGATATGACCGGATTTGGAAGAGTGTCTTTGCAGATGTAATTAAGGATCTCAAAATGAGATCATCTTGAATTATCCGGTGAGCCCCAAATCCAACGTGAGTCCTTATAAGGGACTCACAGAGAAGAGACACGTGGACCCCAAGGAATGAGTGGGGCCACCATAAACTGCTGAGACAAGGAGGTTCTCCCCTAGAGCCTTTGGTGGGAGTGCAGCCCAACTTGGTCTCAGACACCCGACTGTGAATTGTGAGAACCATGAGAGAACACATTTCAGTTTTAAGCCACCAAGTTTGCCGTCCATTGTCCCGTTTGTACTGAGCTGAGATTTGCAGTCTTGGGGCTCTGCTTCAGAGACCGGGGCCCTCCATGCTGGGTCAGAGGCAGAGTCTCAGGGACCAGCTTGTGTTAGCAGGGACTGGAAATCACCCAGGGTGACCATGGCTGGACTCCTGGAAGGCAGGTATCAGGTGAGCTTTTCTGTAAACAGCCTGCAGCTAATTTTAAACTCTGGGTCACCTGGGCATGGTGGGGGGAGGTCTGATTGCAGTTGACATTGGCTGGCGGGGCGCTGGGCAGCTACGTCACAGAGGGGCGGAGCTCAGAGTATCCATGACTCCTGACCACGGAAAGCTGGGGATGCTCGTATAAATAATTCTTGGCCAAAGGATTAAGTGTCTGGTTAGCAGGCTGCTGGTCTAGCCAGAGAAGGCCCCAGGCAGAGAAAAGAAGTCAACCACCCAGGGTCAAACCCCTGGGAAAACACAGCTGGATGTGTGTTCCCACTGGGACCAGGGGTCGAGGCCTGATAGGTCCAGGGTGCCGGGGTAGGGTGGGGAGGATTTTACGGAAAAGAACCCATGCTCAATGGCCTGCTCAGCTGTGGCTACAGTGAAGCACGATGGTTCAGATCCAGGCTCCAGGCTCTGGTGTTAGACCCCCCTGGTGTGGGGGTGGGGGGTTCAAATCCCACCTCTGCCACCTAATAGCTATGTGACCTTAATGAAGTCAGTTCACCCCTTAGCCTCAGCCTCATCCCCCGTAAATCCATGGATTATAGTTGCAAGCATCCCTCGCTCTCCAAATCAATCTGGCTCCTCAGTTTGGAAAGCAGGGGATCCCTCAGGTTCTTAGCTCGCATGGATGCTGTAAAGAGTTACTGAGAAACTTGCATATAAAATTAGCATGTAGGGGCGCCTGGGTGGCTCAGTCGTTAAGCGTCTGCCTTCGGCTCAGGTTATGATCCCAGGGTCCTGGGATGGAGCCCCGCATCGGGCTCCCTGCTCGGCGGGAAGCCTGCTTCTCCCTCTCCCACTCCCCCTGCTTCTGTTCCCTCTCTCGCTGTCTCTCTCTGTCAAATAAATAAATAAAATCTTTAAAAAAAATAAATAAATAAAATAAAATTAGCATGTAAAACAGGGCCGGGCATATAGCAAGCGCTCGGTAAATGCAAACTGTCCATATTCTTTTTTCTTCCTTTTAAACAGGCAACTGCCTGTTATTATTTTATTCTCATAAAAGCTCTTCGAGGTAGATTCTACTATCACCCGCATTTTGTTACAGATGAGGAACCTGAGGCATGGAAAAAAGGATACTGCCCAAGATCACATCACAAAGCTAAGAGGTGCTGGTGTCGGGATTTGAACTCACTTCAGTCTAAGCCAGTGTGTGGGAGCAGCTACTGTGTCGTACTTACATCTGTCCATATTCTTTTTTTTTTTTTTAAGATTTATTTATTTGAGAGAGTGGAGAGATCCACTCCCACGTGGCAGAAAAAAGACCCACTTCTATCCAGTCTCTTGGTCCACTCAAGACCGTGAGCAACACGAGGACAGGGCAGAACTGCACCTGACTTTCTTGGGACCGTATCCCTAGTGGGTTCGGGCACACAGCAGGTGTTCAGAATTTGGAGTGATGAGGGATGAAGGCCCTGGGGAGCTGTCCTATTGAAGGAAGGTGAGCCTCAGAGACACAGAAGCTAAAAGCCGCACTCCCCCGTGCACTCTGGGGGCGGCAGCAGGGCCCCACGATACTCACCTGGGAGAGGTGTTCCGTTGGCCATGAGGGTCAACTGGTCAGCGATGGCTTTGGTTCGTGAGTAGTGGTCCACGTGCTGCCAGAGGAAGGGAGAAGGGAGCCACCAGGCAGGGGTCAGTGACCCTGCTGGGGAAGCCTGCCCAGCCCACCCGGCACTGGGCCTGCCCCTCTGCTTCAGACGACACAGGGGTCAAATTCTGGGGACCCCCCTGGGGCCCTGAGCCCCCGTGCTTTTCTTCCCCCCCCGGGGTGGGAGCGACAGGAGCAGAGTTCAGAGCAGTGACAACCAGGATCCCTCTACTCAGGGAGGCTCTTGCCGGCCCCCAGGGCTTGCTCTGGGATGCGGATGCCACACATGGGCTGGATGGACTATTTGCAGTTGGTTCTTTAGTGTCCGTGGCTTTTTCACATACATCATCTCATTTCCTGCTCGCCACACACCCACGGGGTGGAGTGGTCACGACCGGATGAAGAAATAGAGGCTCAGAGTAAAGTGACTTGTGCAGAGTCCCACAGGTAGAACATGGCCTGGCTGGCTCAAGGCCAGGTCTGTGTGATTGCAAACCCCCTGCTGGCATGACCAGCTGAAATAGGAGAAGGCTTGTGCTACTCAGTTTTGGGGACCCCTTCTTCATGGGGCTCACCCTGAGTCGTGAGGTTGACCCTGGTTTCCACCCATCCCTGCCCTGTGGGCTGTGGGTCCCGGGCCCAGTGGCCCCGCCCACCTCTCCTGGAAGCCACGTACCTTCTCCAGCGGGAAATATGGCACAGAGTCCTCATCACCCTGTTCTATGGGCTTCCCGCCGAACACGACATTGACCGTGCTGGTGTAGATGAGCCTTGGGACCCGCCGACGGACACAGACTGCAGTGACAGGGGCGCACACAGCAACACACACACACATGCACACACACACACGCACACGCACACACGCACACACACACGGCCAACATGAGTGGGAGTTGGCTGAGGAGGTGCCCACTGGGACCCAGTCTTGGACACACATCCTGGCCCCTGGCCCAGAATCCAGAGATGCTCAGGAGGGGAGGAGGATGGCTCAATCCCTGCTCTGTGAGGCCCTGGGGGCCAGGCTGGCTCACTCCTCCCCAGTATGGCCCTGGGCCCTGAGCTACCTTGCAGGGGACCAGTCAGAAGAAAGTCTCACTCGATGGGGGCACAGAAGAAAAGACACTCTAGAATCAGAGAGAAAAACAGGATGTCGCATGCCCAGAGAACTCAGATGTGGGTCTTGTATTTCAGTGACTTTTCTAACCCTTAATCCCTGAAATGCAAACCCCGCGCTGCCTGTGTCCCCAGACAGGCTGTGGCCACGCTGACCCACCCCACGTGCGGGCCCGGGCAGGTCCGCAGCACAGTTAGGATGTGCTGCCCACAGGCCCTCCGCTGGGGTGGGCAGGGGGAGGGGAGGAGGGTCCCACCTCTCCTCCCCTCCCCTGTCCCCAGAGCTGGGCCTGTGGCAGGAAAGGGGACAGAAGCAGGAAACACACAGCAGGTCACACTGAGCTCTGAGTGCCTACCATTGATCACTACTTTGGTGCCTCCAACATTTATAGACTCAATCTGCTCTTTTTGCAGCTAAAAGACAAGAGGGAGGTGGGAAAGTGGTGGTGCTGCTCAGACCTCCTCGAGGAGGCCACTGAGGCCGTAAGGTGGGCTTAGGGTGGGGCCGGGCGGGGGCTGCAGGATGTCAGGCTCAGCCGCAGGGATCTGAGTGCAGGAGCCCTGGGCCCTGGTGCCCAGCTCTGCCATGGTCTCCCGGGGCGGCCCTCAGCTCCCTCGTCTGTGAAGTGACGGCAGACCCCCTCGGGTGGTCGGCAGGACTGAATACACCCGTGGCAGGACTGGGTACAGTGTGTGACACAGAAAAGGGACCCAAAATGTGTTGGATCATTTCCTCACTCTGGCAGTCTGGGTTTCCTTAGCCGTCGGACGGACAGGGTAACACTGTTCATGTTCTAGCGAGGTTCTGTCTACAGAGAGAGAGCTGCTTGTGTTTCCTGGGACAGGGAGAAGCCTTTACGTCTCACTTAATTCTCACAACCAACCCGGAGGTGGGTTCTGTGTCAATTTTTAAACTATATTTATTCTCATTGCAGTTGTTTTTGTTTAATAGGTAATACAATTGCAAAGTTAAACATAACTCAAATAGGGGCGCCTGGGTGGCTCAGTCGGTTAGGCGACCGACTCTTCTTTTTTTTTTTTTAAAGATTTTATTTATTTGACAGAGAGAGACACAGCGAGAGAGAGAACACAAGCAGGGGGAGTGGGAGAGGGAGAAGCAGGCTTCCTGCCGAGCAGGGAGCCCGATGCAGGGTTTGACCCCAGGACCCTGGGATCATGACCTGAGCCGAAGGCAGACGCTTAACAACTGAGCCACCCAGGCGCCCCAAGGCGACCAACTCTTGATTTCAGCTCAGGTCATGATCTCAGGGTCGTGGGATTGAGCCCTCTATTGGGCTCCAGTCTCAGTGCCACGTCTGCTTGAGATTCTCTCTCTCCCTCTCCCTCTGCCTCTCCCCCTCGCCCTCTCTCAATAAATAACATACTAAAAAATATATTAAATAAAAAAATAGAATATTAAAAAAAAACCTCAAACAGTAAAAAGGGTGTACGGGAAAAAGAAAATTTCCTTCCCACTCCTGATTCCTGCCTTCCCTCCCACCCCCCCACAGAGGCAACCACCGTTATTGTTACAGTCCGTGTATTTCTAGACATAACCTATACTTATTTTTTTTTATTTTTTTATTTGACAGAGA